GTATATTTGTGTTGTCAAAAAGTATTTTCTTGTATTGTGAAGGTAGACAGTAATGTTTCTTTAAATGCTGTGCAATGGAACTTTTATCTGACAAATGGAGTGTAAGACATCTTGATAATGTTGTGGTCGTCAAGTCAACATATGTACAATTTGTCAGATATACAAATATAATAAAGTCTTGCTTTATGTGTTTCTAAGTTAAAAACTAAAGGAGATAATTTCATTATTTTCTCGGCTTATTTAAAATTATCATACAAATTTCCTTAGTCATTATTGACATTTCTTATCTATTTACATTTCCATATATGTATGTTTTTTTTTTCTATCGAAATGTATATACATACACACACATAGTAAAAGATACGACCAAATATTATATAAGTTCATATTCTTTTATATGATTACATATATACGTAAATCTACATATGTAGATATTTTATCAATAGTATAAATATAAGTTTTATTTAGTCACCTTCATCCAAGCAATTTTAAATTCGATCGACAAGGTCTGGCTTTTTAATATATTATTATATATTTACAATCAGAATGAAGTTTTTACATCGGGATTGAAGTTATGAATAAATTGTTCATGATTCACATATAATAATCTCGTATTTTCGACTATCACAGTAATTGTAAAGAATGGGTGATTACGGTATAAGTAAGATATATTTGACTAGATTTTGTTGTGTCATATTGCTTTCTCTAATTATATATGCAATTTCTAAAGAAATAATGGATTTTTATTTATTAATCCGACAGAAAATTTTTTTTAATTAAAATCCCATTGCGATATATATATATATATATATATATATATATATATATATATATATATATAAGTGGACATTAAATCAAAACTCAGAGGCGACTAACAGGCTGTTTCATGCTTGATGCAATCGTCAGCATGAAATTGCCTGTTGCCTCTCTGAGTGTTGACTTCAATATTCACTTTATATTTACATACGCTCTATCTCTGATATTGAGTCCTTTATCCCAGAAATATAGCACACCTTAAAATTATATTTCTCCATAAGTGTGTATATATATATATATATAGAGAGAGAGAGGGAGATAGAGAGATAGATAGATAGATTTTATGACTTAAACGTTTTTTACTTTAGTAAACATTTATTTATTAAACTGCATATTTATTTATTTTTGTCTACCGGCCTGAATATTTGAGAAATATTATTTTAAAAAAAATATGCGCACTTCGGTAGGATTCGAACTAGTCTTAGGCACTACTCAAAGTTGGTTCATTGTCAATGCACTTTGTGGCTGAGTCGGTCTAAATCCCGTTCGAACTAACGATGACTTCTCCAGCTAAAACAGCAGATATTTCTCCAGCTTCTCCAGCGCATAGTTTTCTCTAATCTATATTATCGTATATTCATCTACCAAATTATTAAACACGCAATGAAACAGAATTCTTGTAATAAATCCAAGAAATAAACTTCTTACAATGTGGCAACATATTACGTTAAGAAGCAACTAAGGCTGGACTTTTGAAAGAAAGAAATTCGTTAAAGACAATAAAAAAATAAAAACAATTTGTTTATAGATTATTAAAAATTATTTTATAACTGATAACACAAAGATATGTATGGACGTCTACCTCGTCGCTGTCATTGTCGGTTTTATCTCGTAATAATTTGATTTCTTCTTTGCTGATCGCTCCCATTATGTCGGTGTTGATGACTACATTCCCCGCCAACGTGCAGGTTCAGAACTAGAAGCTTCCATTTTCAACAAAACCTGTTTGCGTTATCCATTCCCTGTTGCTGGTTGGCTTTGCAAGAGCTGGTTGAAGGTGAAAGAAAATCAGAGTAGAAAAAGTCCCAATGGCGTGAATTTGTTTAAGGTGGACCTCAGCTAAACAACTATGTAATGTGGAAGAAAATAAAATATTCAATATCTTATACTTGGAACAGACCGTCTGTATACGGATAGTAAATGAACTGAAAGATGAACACGAAGAGAAAAGAGCGTAAGACAAGTGTGTGTCTACCACCCGAACTTATTTGAATTTTACAATGAGGAAATGCTGAGGGAAATAGAAGTCCTATAGGAATTCTTATTATTTGCCACAATCTTAATTACATGAGATATACAGCTGACACATTGTTGATATTAGACACAGAAATGAAAATTACAAAAGGTTGTAAGGGAAAGCGAGAAAAAAAGGACTAAACATCAGTTGTAAGTAAACAGAATGGTTGTCAAATGAAGGAATACGAACTGTGGAAATTTAAATACATGTATAGTGTATCAAATAATTCAATGTATAATATCTACAAGTATTGCCGTATAAAATCAAAGGAAAAGTCTTGGCAATAAAGGAAAACTATTTTTATATATGCAACAATATGAGGAAACTGATCCTTATGATACAAAATATATTCGCCTGAATCATAAGTAATTTCTGTTTTTGAGAACTAAATTGTAAAAGTGAATCCTAATTAAGGGTTCTATAAATATATGAGGCAGATGATTAAAAATAGGTTACATAAAGAGTTCACCACAAAATACGGTGGAATGTCAAAGATACATCTCAACAACTGACTGAAAAATCTGAGTTCCATGGAAGAAATTTTTACACTATGCATGTTTTTTGAATTACCCGGGTATTATTCAAGCATATATCTTAAAATACACTGGAACAGTATATTCACATTTTTATTCCCAGCAGCGGAAAGCTTGTCGTAAAACTGAAGTCAAACTACGCTCCGAACACGTCAATAGGAAAAAATATTTTTCTCCCTTACGTCAACGGAAACAGCCTTGCTGATTATAAAAGGAGAAAAAAGGGACACACTTCGTTTTTTCCCCACTCACCAAATTCACACGACCTTGTACCAACCGATTATTACTTTTTTTTAAACAGTTTGTCGTAAGAATTTAAATAACAAAACCTATGGAATTTTACTAAAATTTTCTCGAAGTGCTTCATAGTAAGTAGTAATATTTCTTGTCCAATTATGGCGGATATATGATATGTAATTGAATAAAAATTATTTTGGGATGGATACATTTGATTAAAAACTAGGTGTTTATTTATGATTTCACCTAGTAACAGAAAACTTTATCTCCGAAATTCTGACAGGAATAACGTTGAAGATGATATTCAGCCGAAAAAAAATGGACATTAAGATTAATTTGTAGTACAATGAATATCCCTCACCTTTGAATTTGAGACAATTGTCTTAATTTATTCGGATCTCTTGAAAGAAATTAGCCAAACTAATATGCAAGGAATTAATAAAGAAAATGTTCATTTTTTGCATAGAATTCATTTGAAGGTTCCTGATTTGAATGTGTCTCTGTTTGTCTCGAAGTGTGGAGCTTTTTGCCTTTGTTTCAGGGCAATAACCAAATTAAGTATTAATGGAAAAAATTCCAAGACATTTAAGCGGCCAATGGTGTTTGGCTTTAATTTCAAATATTTAATCCAAATCAGACGTCCAAAATAATCCGTAATTAGCAATCCGATTATTAAAACGTTTTAAAATTAATCTTCGGTTCTTCTTTTACATAGCTCTTTAAAACATTCCAAATCATCTTGCCACATTGTTTTTCTTTTGCGTGAGGAGATTAAATCTTGAGTTTGAAAAGTAGAGGCTTGTTATGAATCTTATGGAATGAATTAATAAGACAAGGGGACATTTCAAGAAAACAAATATCTATGTAAAAGCTCTTCATTCGTAAATTGTAATATAAAAATTAGTCATTGCCGTAAAGAAAAGTGTCAGCATTTATTGACCAAGCAGGTAATGTTAATGTCTGTTTACATTTATAAATTGTCTTCTTAAAATAGTCAGTAGTGAATGAAAAAATATTATATCCATCAATAGAATTCGCAAGGACATCTCTGCCAATTTTCACTCTCTGTAACCCCTTTCGTGCTAATGGCACTCCAGCTGTGCTTGCGGTGAAATGCTTAAAACAATACAAGTAGAATAAAATAAAATTAAACTAAAATATAGATATAAAAATAAACTTATAAAATAAAATTAAACTAAAGTAAAAAGTGAAAGTAGAGTGAAAATAAATTTTCATAAAACTAAACGGTATGTAACATTAAATGTTAAATAAAGGTACAATCAAATTAATATGCATACATTATTACATATGTTCAGACCCTTTAAAATAAGTACATATACATGAAATTAATTTTAAAGAGGAGTTTTACAAACCTAATAACATGTACAGTAATTTATTTTACTTTATAACTAATTATTACATAAATAAACGAATGCATGCTTCAATAAACAAATTGTTCAACAGAATGCCGGAGTATTGTAATTCAATAATCAAAATTCGGTAAGTAAAAATAAAGAAAAGAAACGAGAAAATTTTCCCGCCACTCCTGAAACCATGACTGAGTAGCCATGGTTCAGGTTTCAGAAGGACTGGGCGAGAGTCCATATGGAAGCCCATATGTGACAAGATATTTTTCATGGAGGACCTGGGTATTTCAGGTTAATATTTTGTCCCGATAGTACCTTAATGCGCTGGTGAAAAGTACCTCTTGTCCAATCTTCTCTTTTTAACTGTTCTTCTTTTTTTTTTCTGTCATTTTTTTTCTGTCATTTTTTTTTTATTTTTTTCATTCGTTTTTTTTTTCTCGCCTTCTTTTATTATTCTTTTATTCGTTCAGATTTTATTTCTTTACTTGTTCATGTCTCTTATGTCTTGTGTGTGTTTGTTTTCTCTGTTCTTTCTCATTCTTCCAAATTTCATGTTATTCACTGGCGAAAATATTTCAATAGCTTTTTTAATATCATTGCAATCTTCAACTGATCTTTCTGGCATTTCAATTCATATATATTTATTATTTCTTAATTTTTTTCATCAATTCATATGTACTTAATATTTTTTTCTTTTTTCTTTCTTTCATCAATTAATATGTATTTATTACTTCTTTCTTTTTTTCTTTCTTTCATCAATTCATATGTATTCATAATTTGTTTCTTTTTTTCATTCTTTCATCAATTGGTATGTATGAATTGTTTCTTTCTTTCTTTTATTTCTTTAATCACTTCATATATATTTATCATTTCTTTCTTTTTTCTTTCTTTCATCATTTCATATGTATTTATTATTGCATTGTTTCTTTTCTTTCTTTCATCAGTTCATATATATTTATTATTTCTTTCTTTCTTTTATTTCTTTCATCAATTCATATGTATTTATTATTTCTTTGTTTCTTTTCTTACTTTCATCAATTCATATATATATATTATTTCTTTCTTTTTTTCTTTCATCAATTCATATGTATTTATTATTTCTTTCTTTCTTTTCTTTCTTTCACAAATTCATATGTATTTATTATTTCTTTCTTTCTTTCCTTTGATTCATCAAATGATATGTATTTATTAATTCTTTCTTTCTTTTCTTTCTTTCATCAATTCATATGTATTCATTATTTCTTTCTTTTTTCTTTCTTTTATCAATTCGTATGTATTTATCATTTCTTTCATTTTTTCTTTCATTCATCAACTCATATATATTTATTTTTCCTTCTTTCTTTTTTCTTTCATGAATTCGCATGTATTTATCATTACATTGCTTCTTTTCTTTCATCAATTCATATGTATTTATTATTTATTTTTTCTTTCTTTCAACAATTCATATGTACTTACTGTTTCTTTATTTCTTTTCTTTCTTTCATTAATTCATATGTATTTATTCTTTCTTTCTTTTTTTCTTTCTTTTATCAATTCATATGTATTTATCATTTCTTTCTTTCTTTTCTTTCTTTCACCAATTCGTATGTATTTATTCTTTCTTTCTTTTTTCGTTCTTTCAGCAATTCATATGTATTTATTCTTTCTTTCTTCATTTTTTCTTTCTTTCATATGTATTTATTCTTTCTTTCTTTTTTCTTTCTTTCAGCAATTCATATGTATTTATTATTTCATTGTTTCTTTCTTTCATTCATCAATTCATATTTTTTATTATTTTTTCTATTTTTTTCTTTCATCAATTCATATGTATTTATTACTTCTTTCTTTTTTCTTTCTTTCATCAATTCATATGTATTTATTTTTTCATTTTTTTTTCATTCTTTCTTCAATTCATATGTAATTATTATTTCTTACTTTTTTCTTTCATCAATTGGTATGTATTTATTATTTTTTCTTTCTTTTTTTCTTTAATCACTTCATATAGATTTGTTATTTATTTCTTTTTTCTTTCTTTTATCAATTCATATGTATTTATCATTTCTTTCTTTCTGTTCTTTCTTTCATCAATTACTATGTATTTATTCTTTCTTTCATTTTTTCTTTCATTCATCAATTCATATGTATTAAGTTTTTCTTTCTTTCTTTTTTTCTTTCATCAATTCGTATGTATATATTATTACATTAATTCTTTTCATTCATCAATTCATATGTATTTATTATTTATTTATTTTTTCTTTCTTTCATCAATTCATATGTATTTATTATTTCTTTCTTTCTTTACTTTTTTATCAATTCATATGTATTCATTATTTCTTTCTTTTTTCTTTCTTTCATAAATTCATATGTATTTATTATTTCTTTTTTCTTTCTTTCAACAATTCATATGTATTTATTATTTCTTTCTTTTCTTTCTTTCATAAATTCATACGTATTTATTATTTCTTTCTTTTTGTTTCTTTCATCAATTCATATGTATTTATTATTTCTTTGTTTTCTTTCTTTCATCAATCCATATGTATTTATTATTTCTTTCTTTTTTCTTTCATTTATCAATTCATATGTATTTATTATTTCTTTCTTTCTTTTATTTCTTTCATCAATTCATATGTATTTATTATTTCTTTGTTTTCTTTCTTCCATCAATCCATATGTATTTATTATTTCTTTCTTTTTTCTTTCATTTATCAATTCATATGTATTTATTATTTCTTTCTTTCTTTTATTTCTTTCATCAATTTATATGTATTTATTATTTCTTTTTTTTTGCTTTCATCAATTCATATGTATTTATTATTTCTTTCTTTTTTCTTTCTTTCATCAATTCATATGTATTAATTATTTCTTATTTTTTTCATTCTTTGATCAATTCGTATGTATTTATTGTTTGTTTCTTTCTTTTATTTCTTTAATCAATTCATATATATGTATCATTTCTTTCTTTTTTCTTTCTTTCATCAATTCATATGTATTTATCATTTCATTGTTTCTTTTCTTTATTTCATCAGTTGATATGTATTTATTATTTCGTTCTTTTTTCTTTCTTTTATCAATTCATATGTATTTATTATTTCTTTCTTTTTTTCTTTCATCAATACATATGTATTTATTATTTCTTTCTTTCTTTTATTTCTTTCATCAATTCATATGTATTTATTATTTCTTTGTTTCTTTTCTTACTTTCATCAATTCATATATATATATTATTTCTTTCTTTTTTTCTTTTTTATCAATTCATATGTATTTATTATTTCTTTCTTTCTTTTCTTTCTTTCATCAATTTATATATATTTATTCTTTCTTTCTTTTATCAATTCGTATGTATTTATTCGTTCTTTCATTTTTTTCTTTCATTCATAAACTCATATGCATTTATTTTTTGTTTCTTTCTTTTCTTTCTTTCATCACTTCGTATGTATTTATTATTGCATTGCTACATTTCTTTCATCAATTTATATTTATTCATTATTTCTTTTTTCTTTCTTTCATCAATTCATATGTATTTATTCTTTCTTTCTTTTCTTTCTTTCTTTTATCAATTCGTATTCATTTATTATTCTTTTCCTTTCTTTCTCTGACTCATATGTATTTACTTACTTTTCCTTTTTTTTCAATATATATATATATATATATATATTTATTTATTTTCTTTTTTCCATTCTTGTATCTTTCTTCCTTTTACTCATTCACAGACTATGTCAATGTTACAAAGGAAATCAGCATCATTTATGGGTTTACGGCCATATTACCATAAAACACTGATTCTTTTGTGATCCCCGAAGTTAAGCAACCGAACATGGTCAGTACCAACATGCATGACCGCTTGGAAATGCCGGGTGTTATAAGATTTTATCTGCGGCTGATGTATTGGTTAAGGGCTCGGAATTGTAAATTGGAGTACTGAGATCAAATTCGAATTTAGTAGATTATATTCACTTACGCCCAAATACCTTTTGGAAACGCATAAGTCTAACTCTTCTCTCCTCCAGTCTATGGGTTAATTAGTAAGACTTATATTACTAATTATTATTTTCTAAAACAAAATACAATATAAAAATATTTTTAGCCTTACAATAACCTGCCAATGACTGATAAGCTGTAGAAAACGAATTTATCAAATATCATTTCTATACGACTGCCATTATGAGAATATCTATTAGTCCAAGCAATAGGTTTGCTAGGTGACCAAAGGAGAGAGAGAAGATCAAAATGCAGCAGACGTTGCACAGACACAAATGACAATGCAGCTTAATTCAACTTAATACCAACATTTTCACACAGTAGTGATTAGCATAAACCTTATTTCGCATACTTAACAAAATCAACAAAATAGGTCATACATTTACTTGTATTTACTTAATGGACATAATTTTTCCAAAGGCATGAATCCACATCTCTGAGCTCTGTTCACCCAAATATTTTTTTAATGTATTGTGTATCCCCTGCCAAGTAGATCGATGGAGAAGTGGTGGATGAATGAGCAATCACTCATGCCTATCACCCATAACTATCGTACATTCCCCAAAATTAGCAATAAAAATCACTTCAAACTATTTAATCGATAGATAGATAGGAACTGATTAAGATATCTAGATTTGAACGAACATGATAGATAGATAGATAGATAGATAGATAGATAGATAGATAGATAGATAGATAGATAGATAGATAGATGCAGGCATACATACATACATACATACATGAATGGTGGTTGCCAGCACGTGCCGGAGTACGGCCATCGCTACATATCTTTAAGGAGAATATCTACTAATGCACCGAACGAATGAGGCTCTTTAGCCCAGCAAGGGACCTACATACTCTGGCACAAACAGAACTTCCGGACTCGTATGTCTTAACGTAAATATCACATCTCAGTTGCTGGTCGTCTACGGCTTTATAGCCAATTGCCACCCTCCATCGCTGCTCTCTCAAGTGACTCCTTAGACCATCCACCGACAAAAAGCTTACATACATAGATACATACATAAATAGAATAAGAACAGATTAAGATATATAAATTTTTAAGAAAATAATTAGAGAGATAGATAGATAGATAGATAGACAGATAAAGAGAGAGCAAGTGAGATATAAGGCATAAATATATGGTTTCTTCTCTAAATCGAGTTCCCATAAAAAGCACTTATAGTAATAAGCACTACATCTATCTATCTTACAATATATATATATATATATATATATATATATATATATATATATATATATATATATATATATATATTTATTGATTATTTAAGAATAATAATACTTTATTGAGAATTTATAAGAATAGTAATCGTTGGTGATTGAATTTATATATATATATATATATATATATATATATATATATATATATATATATATATATATATATATATATATATATATATATATATATATATATATATATATATATATATATATATATATATATATGTATATATATATATATATATATATATATATATATATATTATATTAAAAAAAGAACAATAATATATATAATCTGGTGTTCTTACTGATATTTTTTATTTTTATAAAACAGTGCTCAATGTAAATTAATAGAGCATAAGTATAAATTAACTGGTTTAAAAATATGGTTCCTTCGCTACACAGGAAGTTGTTAGTTTTTGTTTTTGAAACATGGTAATTCCTGTGTAGCGAAGGAAGCATATTTTTTAAATCAGTTAATTTATAATATATATATATATATATATGTATGTGTGTGTATGTGTGTACTTTCAGATTGTGTTTGTGTGTCTGCAAATATATAGTAGAGAGAGAAAGAAATAGAGAGAGAGAGATGACCAGTGATATATATATATATATATATATATATATATATATATATATATATATATATATATATATATATATATAGGAATTAATACTGTATTATATCTATCTGTTACGCGCCTTAAGCGATCATCCGTTCCTGTTATATTCTTCTTTATTTAGGCTCTATATATAGCCTGCCGTGTCTTCTGGGAAGAGGGAAATTGGGGATTTTTTTTTCCGTTTGAATTTCAAGGTGGAGGATTTATCATTATTTACATTATTTAATCAAGCACTACACATAGCATTCCTAAACTTGAGCAGTGGAATGTGAACTACCTTCTATCGTAGATTAAATAAAGGTGTCATGTCGGAATACCCTAAAAATATATTTTGATTTCATGTTTTTTGTCTCAACTCTTACAGTTTACATCATTCTGAAGTCGAGTTTATTTATTTTACTCAGTTTGATTATTCCTATCGGCATTTACTTATATTTAAATTATTTCTACTGTAGTTTATGTACAGTTTAGTTTAGTACTATTTGTATTTATCTATAATTTACTCTCGATCTATTTGTATTTATCTTTAATTTAGTTTAGTTGCATCTGCTTCATTCATATTTTAGTTCTGTTTTTATTTATCTCTAATTTTGTTTGATTTTATTTTTATTTATTCATACTCTAGTTTAGATCTATTTGAATTCATTTATAATTTAATTTCGTCCTATCTGGATTTATTCGCATTTTAGTCCTATTTTTATATCTATACTTTAGTTTACTTTTATTTTAAAAGTTTATTTTTATATCTGTACTTTAATTTAATTTTATTTTATAAGCTTATTTTTATATCTATATTTTAGTTTGATTTTATTTTATTCTACATGTATTGTTTTAAGCATTTCACCGCAAGCAAAGCTGGAGTGTCATTTGCACGAAAGGGGGTTGCAAAGAGTGAAAGTTAAGATTAAAGAGGGGTGTTTTATGAAAGGATAAAGAGAAGGACGGGGATCAAGATCATGGCATCAGATAATATCGCGTGATATTACATTAAAATTTTGGAAGATTATAGTTATCAGGGAAGCATGTAAGAAAAACGGAGTTCCACTGTCGGGAAGTGCGAGAGAAGAAGCTGTTTGAGTAGAGAAGCTGGTTATATTTAACTGATTTGACAGTAAAAGGGTGGGACCGAGATACCAACCTAATAGAACGCTTAAATCCAGAAAAACAGTGGGAAGTCCCATCACGCCTGTGAGGAATAACTGGAGTCAAGATGCCAGGTCAGGACCTATCACATTGCATATGCGTCTCTGGATTTTGTCGAGAACCTAGAGAGAAACAACGGAAGCACTAGACTTTATATAGCAACGGTATTCAATGCAAGGAAGAATGGCGGATTTGTAGAACGTGATGAAGTTTTCAGAAGTGTGTAAAACTGATATTTTTCAGTACAAGTATGTCTCCTCAAGGACAGATTGCCCAGTGGATAAGGACGTTGATTAGTTTCAGTGACTAGATCCAAAGAGTTGTGAGTTCAATACCAGGCCACAATAAACCAAAACTTCGAGAGTTTAGTTAAAGGGAAATAACTGAAACATCTGGAAGAGGCATGGCACGTAGATCTAGAACAATCTATCCCGGTGGACGAAATAAAGGGTTCGGTTAGGAATTCCAGTCCAGTGAAGAAAGCCGGAGAAACGATGTGAATATGCAATGGGGATTAGGATAACAGTCCGGATAATGTAAATAATACAAATAAAAACTGTTCGATGGTATGTAAGTAAATCGATATCGAAATCGCAATATAAACAGAGGCAAATACATGAAAAAAATAGTAAAAATTAATTTAAATGCATTAGAATGTTCATCGCTAAATGATACTCTCATATTTAAAAGCTTAGTCTCCAGCGATAAATAAACCCAAAAGGTGTTTAGATATATTGTGTCTCGCTAGCTTAATTTTTTTATTATTATTATTTAGTTTCTAGGAGTTCAATTCCTGACAAACAGAATAACATCAAGCAAGTATATCACAGAACATCAATCAAGAAAAAAAAAAAAAAAAGATTCCACTGAACTCCCAGCGCATTGCGTAGCGAACCGAATGAAATGCGTTGTTCTGCACGGTTTAAAGCCTGCGTAAATTATCGAGACATTAAGGGGAATGGTCGAGAGTTGAACGGCAAATGCTATTTCCCCGAGGCACACGGTCACAGTTGCCGCACTCTGTTACATGTGAATGGCTGATTTCCCTAGAAAAACCTTTACAGGAAAATGAATTAATCGCACCAGTTTTTACTCGAAGCTCACACCGCTATTTTTCCTGCCATTTTACTGGTAATTCCTGCTGAAAGTTATTTTTTATTTATAAATATTTTACATATTACATTAAATCCCTGATTCATTTAAACCATATATATATATATATATATATATATATATAAATGGACGAGGTCCGACAATTTATTTATATATATTTTTAAATTATAAAAATAACAACGTTAAACATAAATAAAAATGTCTTTAATATATATATATATATATATATATATATATATATATATATATATATATAGAGAGAGAGAGAGAGAGAGAGAGATTTCATGATTAAACAGAATTCATAAATAATTACATAGGTTACACAACTACATGCTTATCCAGATACCTTACATTGCACCTATCTGACCACTGCTCTATTAGAACCTATTTAAACACAGGCACAAATCCCCGCGAGACATACTAGTAGAAAATACTAACATTGTAACCTCATCCATATGCAATAAAATGTTAAAAAATAATGGAAGCCTTAATAATTAAAAATAAAAAAAGCTACGAACACGGCCACAATGTGCTGACTGTGTTCGGAAAATAAAATCTCTCTATTACACTAAAAACAGGTACAAACCACAGATCCAATGTAATTAAATTAAAAATAAAATCATCTTTGGTAATGGCTAAAAGTATAGACGAAAGCGCTTGGAAT